TTTCTCCCGGTCTCTGGGTAGTAAGATCGGACACCCGTGTGTATTGTTGCGCACGTAAAAAATACCTTGAAAGTTGGAAATCGAGAGAGAGTAGCCTTACGGCGTTGCCCGGGCAAAATTTGGAGTTAAAAATTTACCCAAAGTATTCAGGTCCTCGCCGGTGCACTGCGCAGGTACTTCGGACTTAGACTTGAGTTTGAAGTAGAACGGAGCACTTATGGCTTACTAACCCTGTGCCGTGATGTTGATCGGTTGCTTAAACCTAAATCTAAACCTAAACATCAATATTATAAAACTGACTGATGAAACCAAATCAACGATCAACATTATGAATGCAGTAATGGGTGTCACTGCTATTCAACACAGTTTTCGTCGAGGGAAAAAATATAACATTGATGTAATGAATGACAATATTAGCAAACAAGTAATGTGAGTGTCTGTGCATTTTCAAAAGCTCTACATACAGAAGAGCTGCAGACTAATAGTTTTATCTTTTGTACAGTCGTCAGCTAAACTCGAAAATAAGCAAACAAGAAACCATTATGAAACATGCAGCAATGATTAGTAGTGGTATCATAATGAAATGATCGTTATACGTAAATAACAAGTATTCTTCTTCTTTTTCTCTAGTTCTGTTCATGTTTTTCAGTGTCAGGTTTTTACGAGAGCCTTGGCATGTGTTACACTGAACAGAGTACCTACGGCTTCATCTGTCCCATCCTTCCGTTACTTGTATCGTCGACCTCTGGCTCTGTTCCCATTATGTCTAAGTGACATGGACACATAGTAATAATGTTTGTTAAATTAAACAACGGAGTGTCTGATTTCAGAGGTTTACTTGAAACGTTTCAGTCTGAGGTAAATAGACTCACAATTACATTAGAGTGATATATGTAAATGCTGCAGGAGATCGCAGATTGTGGAGAGGTCTGATCGCGCACGCTGGTCGGCAAGGCACCTGATGATGGTGATATGGACGATTTATATATATATATATATATATATACCACACGCAGATAAACACACACAAATACCCATACATGACTGGCCCTTCCTGTCTTTCCAGACGACAGTGATACATTTCGATGAAGTACAAGATGGAAGAGAAGAAGAAGTGATACATTTTGTTCTGAGAAGCCTTAGGACTGAGCCCATGGCGATGGCGAATGTGACTAACAAGACCCGCCTGCGTTAAGAAAAGTCTTCCACAATTATAGCATGGAATTTCTGGACCGTTGTTGCCAACATTTGTTTCCGTGACTAATTCTATAAACCCCGTTCAGTCGCATATGTCATTATCAGTTCTCGTTATGCCTAGTGGCACATGAGGCTTCAGAGAGGACTTTCCATGCTTTCCTGTCCTGTGCAATCTTCAGTGCAGTTTTCCGTGTCTAAGAAGCCGCACTCAGGTCACTTTCCATCGTTCGTCTCCATGTTGTTTTTGGGCGCCCCTGTTTTCTCTTTCCCTCTGGTGTCCATGTGAGAGCTGTTTTGGCAGGTATATATTGTGGTTTCCCTTGTACCTGTTGTGGATTGTCCAAACCCTGTCCACCTGCTTTCATTAATTCCAAGATAATGCAGTTTATAGTTTTGCATTTGTTTAATTACTTGGGCGGTTTTGGCCGTTTCAAACATGGTTCTTACATTCCAGAAGCCAATTCTTAATTTGGTTTTGACATCCAGCAGACTTGTTTTCCCATCATGGGCTTCCTTTCGGCTTTCACCCATGTTGTTCATGCTGACAGAGGGACTCTGTCCCAAGACCACCGGACGTTTAGAGCACTTATTTCCTCTTGAAGTTTCAGTAACGTTGTAGATTTAGTCGCATATACCTAGTTATATTGGGACACCCTACGGTTCTGAAGTAGCCTGCAGTTCGGTGTAGGAGGGATCTTGAATTCATGATCTATCTCTATGTCTGCGCAGACAATGATTGCGACATTAACCGTGTTAGACACGCGCGATTTCTCTTGTTGTGCCGTTTTAATAATACTTGAAGTTTATATCTAGGAAATCTGTTTATGAGTAAACAATTGCCTGGGGTTTTGAGTTGTGTTAGAATCGAGACACAGTAGTCGGGACACACATCTCAAATAGTTTAGTTCTCTTTTAATTGTTCAGTAGAAGTGGTTGGTTAGCTGAATGGTTAGAACACGGGGCTCCCGTGCGGGAGACCACGGTCAGAATTCCAGTTTAGGCATTTGATTTTTGTTTACACTTACCTGCATTGTCGAGGAGACAGCACTAGCCATGCGGCTTTAAATACTTTTTAAAAAAAGTACAGGTATGTGGGTAAACCAGTTGATAATTAAATTTGACCATTTCGCATACTTATGATTTTATTTCAAACTTTCTGATTGCATGGTTTGTATAGATTTCCATTTATTTTCATTTCGATGTAATTGTTTCGTATGACATTGCGTTGGAATTGGACTGTGTTCTTTACGATAGCAATCATTTCGTAATTATGGTGTATTTTTCCTGTTTTCGTTGCTTCTCACTTTTTCTCTCTCTAAACTACTTAAAGAATGAGGGAAAGAGTAGTCGGCGAATTGGGGGAGGGGGATGGGGTATAACATAAACTGTTAACTGAGAGAGCTTTAAGTCACAGTAACTGGCTTACCCACTCAAAGTAGTAGTAGTCATGCCAGAGACGGCCGGTAAGGTGATGGTGTTTTTCTGTCGGCGAGCGAAATTACACATCCTAACCTGACCAGTCCGCGACGACAGCACTAGCCATGCGGCACCAAATCTTCTGGCTCACTACTTCCTGTCTATCATGATGGTAAAACAGATAGCAGTGACATTATTTTAGACATTGTGGTGGTGGTAGTAGTTGTAATGAAAGATGGTGTGGTATAAATTACACTAGCCGCATTTACTACTCATTACAATTCCTGCTCCCCATTTTAGTCCGGATGGACAGGGATATCAAGGTCAGTTACAATAAATATAGTCAGGTGATGATTTTCAAATCCGCTGAAGAGGGAGAGGGCAGTATTCGATGGATGGGTAAGGGGAGAGGTGATGACTGAGACTGTTAACTTAAAGAGCTTAACACATGATTTTAAAGTTTTCATTTCTTAATTCATTTATATTTTACTAACGCTACCTCTGTTACTCTCATTTTTTGAAAATGATTTACTTGGTTATTTACAAGTACAATGGTGAGCTTTACTTTTATCTCTTAAAAAAATACAAACAGCTGTAGCATGTGATAACCAAAAAACCCTTTTTGTAAAACTGTCCTAAAAATACCATTAAAACGACCACTAATATAAAGACACAATTATATGTTGCGTGTTCTAAAATCGGCAAACCACATTATCTCTATATCTGTGCAGACAATGATTGCGACATTAACTATATTAGACACGTGCGATTTCTATTGTTTTTCTTTTTCAAGAACCTTCGATGAGGGTGTGGGTAGTAGGTGGATTTGGGAGGGGGGGGGCATCAAAGGGTCTCTCTATATCTGCGCAGACAATGATTGCGACAGTAACCATGTAGACACGTGCGATTTCTATTTTCTTTCCTTTCCATTTAGCTAAACTATGCAACAGCAACGCGTGGCCGGGTACAGCTAGTATATATATATATATATATATATATATATATATATATATATATATATATATATATATATATATATATATATATACCAAACAATACTTAGTCACACTGGTGTCCAGAATTTCCGGAATGGCGATTACTTGGCTATGTAAAGTTAGCACAAAGTTATAACCCATGCAAATATGAATACGTTAAATTCTTCACAAGACCCTGAACAATTGTCTTGTTTGTTCGGCTCCTTCTCATCTTCATCCTATTTGTTTGTGTTCGTCTTCTTTTTTCTTTATCCTCATAAACTTCATCTTTACCTTTTCTTCTCTGACTTTTTCTACACAAAACACACATACACTTTTTGTTTTTCTTCTTTTACACATATAATAATCACACAAACACATTTACTACATGTGTGCTTTTATTGCAGGCAGACATGTTAGGGTAGGGTTGAGGATGAAGAAGATAAAAGAGGGGAGAAGGAAGAGGAAGCTGAGCAGAACAAGAGATGACGACGAAGAAGAAGAAAGAGGAGAAAACGAAGAAAGTAGTAGCAGTAACAGCCTTAATATTAGTAGTAGCAGCAGCAGCAGCAGCAGCAGCAGTAGTAGTAGTAGTAGTAGTAGTAGTAGTAGTAGTAGTAGTAGTAGTAGTAGTAGTAGTAGTAGTAGTAGTAGTAGTAGTAGTAGTAGTAGTAGTAGTAGTAGTAGTAGTAATGGAAATGGTAATACTACTACTTGAAGTTGTCATAGTAGTGTGTGCATTAAAATATTTGCAGAAGTAATCGCAACTATCTTCTGCAAGATATTACCGAGCCGCAATTGCGATCATCACCCTTTACAAATATTCGAAAACATTTCGGCTCTGAAACCAGACGCTGTTCAGAAACAAACACACCTGTCAGTAAACATTATTGATCCCTCTATACAGTTAAAGGGGGAACAGGTTCTTCGAAAGTTTAGACTTTAGAGGCAACAGGATCTTCAACAACCTTCCACGAATATATCGAGGAGAGTCAGTCAAATAAGGACAGCCAGTCAAATAATTGACAGATGTGGAACATTATTTAGTGGTTTTCTCATTTTAACAGGAATGGATTTCTCGTTACTGCAAATGTGCCAAATTGGCGTTTCATTTAGCTAAATTATATCTGGTAAAACACAACGTGTATCAAATGTGCTATTAATAACCAATTAACCATTTCATTTTAAACATGTATTTCATTTAAAAGAAACTGCTTAAAGTAATTTTTAATATCAGAATAAGTATTTACAGAATGTAAACGTTCAGTAAATCCACATTTTATGGGAATTGGTTTGTATACACAAATTTACTTGCAGTTACCGAAATCACCTGGCAGATCTCTCGCCATTGTTGGAATTTGATGAGGGGAGAACAGTTTGTTTTCTGGAATTAAAGCGTGTTGATTCATAAATATGTCCGTTCCTAAACCAGAACGTAGGCGGAGACGACTGCTTGATGAAGGAGAAGATGCAGGCGCTGAAACCCCGGCAGTTGTGGCAAGATCTTCAGAATGTGTATGTTTTAGTTTCACTAACTGTACCTGTACACAACTCCATCACACTCTTACTCTTACTTCTTTACTACTGACTTAGGCCTAGGTTATAATGTACTTTCTGCAATTTTTTTAATAATTGAAATATAAATAAATTAACGAAAATAAGTAAACTAAATAAATGCAAAAGCTGGCTAGTCTACAGGGCTAAGTGGAATGAAATCGCAACGGTACTTGATCGAAACGTATAGTAAAACTAAAACATTACTAATATTATAAATTAAAAGGCTCTCCTACGAACTTCTACCCGAAATTATGGCGGTCAAGCAAATAGCCTAACAGTGCCTCAGTCGTGTGTAGAATGCGGACTTTCTGCCAAGGAACAAATCGAGGCTAAACTAGGATTACTGATTACTTGACAGTTTCACGATAATAGCCACATGGCGGGGAGACCACGCGCTCCGACACAGATTAGCGTCATCGTTGTCCTCACACTTTTTGGCATGCGCAAAACGCGGTTAAACTCACCGCCGACAGTATTCCCCTGGGGATGGGAATATAAACTAGATGCCTGGGACTCACTAGCAAATAAATTAGAGGAAGTGGCTATCTTCCGAATAACGGTCCCAGATTATCTACGCAGAAAATAAACCCTAACAGGGCCTCAGTCACATGTCAATTGCGCAGTTCCATCATCTTGAAATGCGAGCTTCCGGCGACTTCCGCCGCCGCCGAATTGCGGACTTTTGGTAAACTCCGCCACCGCCGAGAGTACTCCCCACGCCTGCGTGAAGTTGCAGGATGGAGAAGCGGTAGCTGCTGCTTGTGAGTCCCAGCCATCTAGTCAAGCTCTCCCCCTCCCCCCCCCCCATCTGCGCTGCGCGTAGTGGGGGATACTGTCGGCGGTGCGGCATAGTCACAGAAACAGGTCCGCGATTAACATATCGCTGAGACCCTTTTAGAGCGCTTTGCTATTCCGAGCCGATCCTAATTTTGCCACGATTTGTTCCTTGGCAGAAAGCCCGCATTTTACACACGATTGAGGCCCTGTTAGTCTATAAGCATGTGTGTGTATATATATATATATATATATATATATATATATATATATATATATATATATATATATATATATATATATATATATATATATATACACTAAACCATTCACACACATTATAATATAATAGTAACATACACACCCACATACTCAGATATAAATTCATATATACACACAAAGGCACCTACCAATACACTCATATGTTTTATAGGGACCGCAGTCGATAAGTTGCTCACTTACAAATCCAGCTGCGACTCGCTGCAGCCCACGGTCGGTGTACAAAACCGGGCAGCTCACGGGGTTCACCAAGCCTCTAGGAAATGGGTACCAGAGTTGACACTCAGGGGTAACTAGAGGAGCGTCGCTATAGCTACAGAGTTACGTGTAAATGGCGACACAGGCGGACAATTCTTATCAGCTGTCCTTACTGGTGGCAGAGCGCTTATGGTTTATTACCGTGTGCAATGACGCTGGTTCACATCTCCCTACTTTACCTTTATTTACATATACATATAAATTCATGGCATATTATATTATTAACGAAGATGTTCACCATATAATTATAAAGCACATTGGGAACTATGAACCTCTTTTAACTACTGTGAAAAGGCGAAAAATGCAATGGTATGGATCTAACAGCCTCTCAGAAACAATACACAGGGCTCCATAGAGAAAAAGAGGCAGACCAAGAATAACCTGGTCCCAAACCTGACTGACTGTACAGGCATGCAACCATGAAGTCCATCGTAACTGACTGCCAAAGGTGGGGAGAGCTGATCAGACATTGAACAGAAACTGGTGACCCAACAACACGCATGATGATGACGATATATATATATATATATACACACACAAGCGTGCTGCCAAGGAGGCTTCAGAGTAAAACATAAAACCTTTAAAGTGTAATAGCTATGCCATTGTTTTATAACCTGTCATTATTGTTAAGAGTGTTAATGACGTGACATGGTACAAATGGAACACAGTTATGTCATAATGACATTTTAGATTATAGCCACCCCACTTTTGACATGCACCAGAGAGTAGTAGTATTCTGTTACCTATTTGTTTTTATCAGAGAAGGAGTTAAACCTATTTTTGAAATTTCATTGGCAAATGAAAGAAGATCGAATACGGTAATGCATACCTGTCAGTCCAGCATGTGTGAGAGGAGTAGAAAGTTTCAAAGCAGCATGTCTCCTTTCTGACAGACTGACTGTTCACTTCCTGGGCAGGCACGCCAAGTAATGTCCTTGTTTTGACATTTCTTACACTCTTTTGTGTGAGTGGTTTTGAGCCCAAGATCTAACTGAGTGGAGAAATATATCTTGTTTGTGCTGGGGACTGTTTCGTTAAGAAAGCAACTAACCACTCTACCACCGCAGCCCTATGTACTACATAGTTCTGCGTAATTTATTTGTGTCTTTATTTTTTCCCCAGGAATCTGAAGATGAAGGGCCTGTCGTAGGTAACGCTTATGTTATATGTATTGTAGACTTAACTGTAAACTTGAAAGTGTGTGTTTCCTTTGTATCTTATGCTGATTTATGCTTAAGCAAATGAGATAAACCAGAGGCCACAAAAATGTGGCAGTCTGTATAGGTTGCTAATGATTCTCAAGGATGAAAGGGGTCTCCATGGTGAAGTGGTCAAGCCGTTTACCTCACGCTGTAAAGGTTGTGGATCATTGCCAAACTTAGTCTTAGTTGAGGTTTCAGCTTCACTGCATTTGGGTCTCCGTGTACTTGCTCCATTCCTCCGGCAGTGAAAAATCAAATGCAGTGTTCCTCACTATCCATTTGAAATTACATTGTCAACTGTATTATGTTAGTGATACTTCTATGCTCAGACTCTGACCTCTGGTCCGCTACAATCCCCGTTTTTAAGATTTTTGGGGCCTGAGTTAACTTAGCGGATTGGCCATGAATAAGACTGTCCGAGTCATTTCCTTCATTTACTTTCATGCTTAAAATGATAGTTGGCACATTATGTTGTGCTTTATAAAGCACCTGATCTGCACTTTTCAGTCGAACACATGCAACAAACTTCTACCTAGCTGTTTTTTATGACGTTCTTGTTGTTTGAGTCTAATCCTCCAACCCCTTGCGTCACTTGAACCTACACAGGTATGTCTGTGTCTAATTACTGTTATTTATTGAATTTTGTGTGTGTGTGTGTAATCCTTAAACACCATGAACATCTACTGTGTATCATCATAATCATAACTGAACAGAATCCTTTATTTACTGCCAAAATTTTGCTTCTTTTTCACTTTCTCCAGTTACTTTATCAAAGTGCTGGGGGGTGTGGGAAGTCTTCTGTGTGCGTAATCCAGTGTGTTCTATAAGTTGAGTTATGTGTGGGTTCCGGGTCCCAGTTGTAGGGAAAACAAGAATAGACCCACTGCCAACCCAACATCATGTTGTAAGAATCGACTAATTGGGAGCTTCCTTCAAAGTCTGCATTTAAATGAGTCTGATCTGCAAAACACAGCACTCAGGTTCTGAAACAGGACTGCAGTCCATAAGTAGACGAACAACCAGAACCTTTCGCCAGAGTTTACAGCTGGTGAACGCAAAGATTTCTTTATGCCGTCGCTCAGTTTTCTGTGTAGTCTTCCCCTGATTGTGTCCATTGTACTTCTTCAGTGCGGTTTTCTGTGCATTTGATACTAGGACATTCACATCAGATGACCAAACCATTTCATCTGTTGCTCTTTAATAAACTGTATGACTGGTTTCAGACCATAGTCTTTTACTTCATATTTTTTTAAATTTATAAATTTTTCTCTCCTTGTTTCTCCGGCAGCAATTATGATGTCAAAATCGGCCCTAGATATTTAAATGAACCTGTTTGTTTAATCGATGTGTCACTTCACTTAGTCACTCCTCTTCTATGGTAATCTTGTCCTATCGTAATCTGATGTTTCTTCTCCTCTCTTCAGATCAGCTTAGTTTTTGTTTTGGAGTCACTGATTGTCATCCCACTCTTGTCAAGATGTGCCTCTGATTGGATCAGTGTGAAGTTTACTTTTAGTGGTCTGGTTTTTGGTTGTTTACCTGTCACCATTTTCTCTCTTTTTTTTCTAAGCTTATTTTTGTATTATATGGCTGGCACTTGGTGCCAGATGCTTCCGACATAATTCTGCTACCAGTTACCTCGGTGCCACCAGATCATCATCACATGCCCTGTCAACTGGCGTAGGTGCTCATGCATCTCCACATGATAGCCACCAGATAGTGATACTGAAACGTTTTCATGCCATCATAAGTATGACCATTTTTGTAAAAAGACATTGGAAAATGAAATTTCAATTAAAATACTTGCAGGTATAAGACCCACCCGAATTTAGGAGATTCATTTTTGTTAATAGAAGTGAATAAAACAGAATTGGTTTGTTTGTTACATGTGTGATATTCTGCTTTTTATTCACTTAGAAAACTCTGAATGTGAAAGTGCTGTGGATGACAGTGCTGATCAAGAGGTAACAGATTTGTACTTTCATGTTATAAAAAAAATAATGAAATTGTTGTAATGGCTGAAATGCTTTTTAAAAAAATGCACCTTCTATGATTGCATTCTGAAAGATGTTGACATGTAAGAATTCTTTTCCCACTGAATTTCAGAGTAAACAAAGTGTTCTGAGAACCTGTTCTGCTGTATAGTGGGGATTTGCATTGTGAACATACGGATAAGAAAGAGATTGGTGATTTGGTTGTCTAAAGTGAAATTTATGGAAATCTTGAACAACCAAAGTAAACAAAAGTTGCCTGACAAGGCTAACAAAAACAGTACATAGTAACTGTAAGCAAGAGACAAGTATTGATTTGTTAAGTGATACAGAGACATTGGAGCACACAGTGACGGCGGGTAACTCGCCAGAAATAGGGATAAATTATCCCCTTGTGGGTTCCGGGACCCCATTGTGGAAGAAAACAAGAATAGACCGTCTGCCTACCCAAAAGACATGTCATATGAGTCTACTGATTAGGAGCTTCCTTCAAAGTTGGAGTGCATCTGCCTGAGTGGCAAGGAACCAGCAGTCATCATACAGATAAGTCAGATTTATAAAACAGAAGTGCATGCAACACTGAGGTTCGGAACAAGACTAAAGTCCACAGATGGACGAACAATCAGAACTTTCAGCCGGAGTTTACAATCAGTGAGCGCGAAGAAGAAGAAAAATTATGCTGGAATATCTATGATGATAACATATAGCAGTCTTTTCCGTTTGGTGATCCATCCCCCCTCCCCCGGTCCACATAACACATTTGAGGGGTCAGTCATATCATTTTCAGAAATCCCTAAACTTAAGAATGTGATCCTAATAATTATAAATTATAATAAACGTCTTTAGCCAGACTGTTTAAAGGTAGGTCCATGACAGGCTTTGAAAATAAGAGGGGTTGTTTGGTCTTAACTGTTTGAGAACCACTGGCGTAGAGGACTGTTATGAATAGAACTCATCCTGAATACCAAGGAGGTCTCAGTGATGAAATGGTGGAGCTGTTAGCCTCACACTCTGAAGGTTATGTGTTTCATGGCCACATTGTTCAGTTCACGAGTAGTTTTTGTGGAGATCCTTGGGCATTGTTGCTGGATTTACAGAGTACATGCTTTGTGTGATGCTCTCAGCAAATGGTTAGCCATGCTGTGGGGAGACACTCATCCTTATGGGATAACTCTGTCCGTCCTCTCGACTTTACCTTCAGCTTTTAATCAAGAATACAAAGGACCAAGATCCGTGGAAAATTTATGGACCCATATGACATCTGGCAAAGAATATGATAATACCGACAAGCAGACTGTTTAGTATATGCAGCAGCTGTTGTTCAGTACAGCTACATTAGATTTTACATCTGTTCATGGAAGACTACAAATGTCACTAGTTTTAACCTGCTATGCCAGTCAGTGACCCTTCAGCTTTGCTGTGACCTGTAACAGCCTGTTACCTTCTGTGTGCCCTGAACTTTTAAACACCAGCAGACTACCACAGTTGATTGCAGCAGCCTTAAATTCATTCATTTGTCCTGTTCACGTTTCCTGGTCCATCTACACACTGTCTGATCTTTCGTTCATACTTTCTCAGACTTTTCTATGTCGGAGGGGTGCCACGTTGTCTTTCCTCAAATAACATCAGAGCTGATGTCACATGCTCTGTACTACATGACGATACAGCTTTCAACGACCCCAGAACATGCAGAACTGGCCCTAACCCTAAACACCCCCCTTACCCTTAGCCTGTGTAACACGTGAGACTTTTTTTTTAAAGAAGGCAGTACAACGTGACACCCCTCTGACCTAGATCAGACTGGGAAAGTGTGTAGGTCCCATTCAGTAACTACACAGGACTCACACTTTCATAAGAATGTAATTAGGCTACCAAGAGTAGACAACCCAACAGCAGACGTATAGCTGCATCATCATGATATGCCTTGCCAACCGGATGGGGGATCATGCCTCTCCACAACCTGTGATCTGCAACTGCATATATCAGTTTCATAATTGCAACATCATTATAATTTTTGTGCCAGGGTATAATGATCGCAGAGAAAATGAACAAGCTGGTAAGCTTGTTTTAAACCTGGTGGTATTCTTGAGTTCTCTAATTCAGTTTTCCCAATGGAGGGCCAGTGAAACTTTTTTTTACTGGGAACCTAATGTCATTTACATTAGTGTTCTTCAACCAGCGGGCCACGGCCCACTGTTAGACAGCAGGAAAAAGTCCATATGAGTCACCAAAGAATGTCTATCTAATCATGTAAGGGGGTAGAGTAGGTAGATTTTTTTCTTCCAGGATTGCAGTCTTTTAGATTATCCTCTCAAGGGTGAAAATGAAAAGATGTTGCATCAGATGAAAATTGTAATTTGCTGACATCAGTTTTAATCCACACACAAACTGCCATTTACATTTGCTTGTGTGATTTTTTTGTTAACTGTCAGGGTATGGGCTGCAGGTGTAAAAGAGGTTGAGAAACACTAATTTACAACACGCAAAACTCCACTTTAGAGTGCACTTTTTGCACTTATGGTATAAAAAACTTTTTTTAATGTAACTAATAAAAAGTCTGGGGTTTGTGGCAGGCCGTCGAAAGTAAGAGCTGTCGCAGGCCTTTGCTAATTTGGGAACCACTGCTTTGATTCACTTCTCTTTGCTGAAATTTATTAAGTCATGTGTCTACTTCTTCTGCATTCATCTGAAGATTTAAGTGTATTGTGCCTGTTAACAACATGGCTGTCATATTTGCGTCTTTCCGTTGACACATCCGACTTCTGCAGGGATTTGTTGACTGGGTCACAGGTCACAGATGCTGCCCCACATAAGGCCGGTCTAGAGAAGCCATGTAATGCTGGTCAGCCCTCAAGACAAGGCAGCGGCAGAGCATGATTATTCTCCGCCATCCAAGGAGGCTTCTATAAATGCAAAGCCAGTTCATGGTGCTCTGTACTGGGTTCGCCAAAGAAATTATCACGTCCTGCTCATGACTGTTTGACCTCACTTCCATATATTGAACATCTCATTCATCACAGGCTATGTCTTTAGAAGCCAACAGTAGGAATCCTGCAGACCTGCGATTATGATTACCCATTTAAAAAATGAGTATTTTGCTTCTTTTGCATGTTAAACTTTTTTACTGCAGTGGACTTCTATGTCCACTATAGTTTTAAATGACATTTGCCACATAGATGCCTAGGGGCAGCCCGTGTGGCAGTATACAGACAGATGGGTCCATTTTATTTTCTTTCCATGTCATGGTTTATGAACTCTGCATCTCTTTGGACTCCAAGAAAAACCATACATGATATGTTCGTGTGATGATAATATATGGGATTTCTGTGCAGAACTCATCAGTATACAATGAGTATGTTTATTTGCAGGATGAAACAGAGGAAGGAAGTGAGACAGAAACAGAGGAAGGTTCTGAAACTGAGGAATCTGGCTCAGAAACAGAGGGATATACAGATGAAGAAGGGTTAAATGAAGAGCGTCAGAGCGGGGATGGAGAGGTAACATTACTGACACAGTGTGGAAGTAACAGTACTGATATTATAGGGATTTAACAATACTGACATTATGGGGAGAGGTAACAATACTGACATTATGGGGAGGTAACAGTACAGACATTATGGGGAGGTAACAGTACAGACATTATGTGGAGGTAACAGTACAGACATTATGTGGAGATAACAGTACAGACATTATGTAGAGGTAACAGTACAGACATTATGGGGAGACAACAGTACTGTCATTATGGGGTGGTAACAGTGCTGATATAATGAAGAGGTAATTTACTGACACGCTGAAGAGGTAACATGACCAGTTATAATTGTAAAGATACTTGTATAAAGAGCTGATTTTTTAAAAAAAGGCTTTATATGTTTAAAAGTAGGGCAGCAACAGTTGCATATCTGCATGTTATTAGTCTCTGAGGTCAATCTTCACTAAAATATAAAGATGCATACAGGGGGAACATGAATGATAAAGGCATTGAGATGTATTCAAGGGAACAGGATGCCACAGACATTGTTCCGTAAAGGGCAGAAACTTGAGAAGTGGCGGAAGGAAAAAACTGATTGCAGATAGGTAGAAGCTAAGCATTTGAGAAGAAGCAAAGTAAATGATGCTGGTAACAGTGGTCCTAAAATCCTATACTTTCCTTGCAGAAGACTTTTCCTAATACAGGCAGGGCTCGATTGCCACACTCACCATCGCCATGGTCGAGTCCTTTGTCTCCCTATAACACAGAGCAATATTGGACTGACAGAAATGTAACAGCAGCAACATTTTATTGCATACAGCTGATCTAGCATTATATTGAATTGGCAGTATATATGGAATAAAACCTGTTGTATAAAAATTGATCCGTTTAGCCTTTAAATGCAGCGTCTGTCCTTGACTGTCAAGAATGGGCCATCTATAGACAGGAGAGACATCAGCAATGCCATACGAGAAAGAGTAAATGCTGTGAGGCTTTTTGTTGTGTGTGTGATGCTTCATTGAATAGACTGCATACCCTGGGTGAACCAGTTAGAGCAGCGAGACAAAGAAAACCATTAAAGAGCCACCCATTGGTTACATCATCCAGAAGAGAATGGAGGTTTTTAGCTGCAGTTACTTGAAGACATACTCAGGAGGAGAGCACAGCACTTAACGGCCATGTGCAGTAAAGATGATCTTTTAATGTACAATGCTTCTTCCCCCCCCCACACACACACACACACACACACTATTGTCTTGTGTCATGGCATACGAATACAGACCACAAGACCACAAGAGAGTCCGTGCCATATGGGCGTTGGTAGTCATATTTATCCACAGCCCCCTGTCTCGTGTAATTTCAGTCGGTTCTGACATAGATGATCTCCCATTGGCATGTTGTTAAACTGTCCTTCATCTTCTCTCTCACCTCGGCCTCCTTTCCACTTAACTTTTGCATGTCTCTTCGTGACATGACCAAAGAATGTATTGTCGCCTTCTTATGTGATGTTTTCAGTTTTCATCTTTATTATTCTTTTTATCTGCCCCTATCCAGGGTGTTCTCATCAATTATCTGTAAATCAATATCTCAGCTGATTCCACGTAGAATAATTTGTAGGCTTGATCGTAAACAGTAGTGCATTGAAGAGGAATATTTTCTTCTTCTCCTTATCATTTCCTGATGTATATTTTGAAATTCAGGAACAGCCAGAAAATGATAAGCCAGATGATGATGAAGATAAGAAAAATCCTGCCTATGTCCCTCGGAAGGGTGCCTTCTATGAGCATGACTACCGCCGCGGAGATGAGGTGCCTGAAGCAGAAGTTACAGAAGAGCTCAAGTAGGTCAAAAACAAATCTGTACAAGTCAGCATTGTCTTTGTATATCACCATAAGTGTTTGATGTAAGGTTTTTTTTTTTTTTTTTATAATCCCTGTTGCTCCACATTGAGGGTTGGCAACAGTTATCACTGCCATCTTTAAGGAATATTACGAAGTTAGGCACCAGTTTCATCCATGTTGTTTCTTGTACCATTGTCCAAAACTATGACAGCTTGTTTTTTTGTGTGTGTGTGCTGGTCACTGCAGAAACGGAACCTAGGTAGGCAAGGGTCATGAAGTAAAACATATTTACTAATTTTTAAACTACAGAGTTGCACATGATAAGGTAGAGGTTTTCCTCATATGGAGTCTGAAGTTTTATGCATTCGCATGTTCTAGGTAATAGCTAATATGGTGGGATGACCAGTTTTTCCACACATCTCCTTCCTAGAAAATCTGAAAATATTCCAGTTTAATTCTATACTGCTGGGTCAGCCTTGGAGTTGTACTGTAAAACAATTATCCATTGCCGAGCTTTGATCATAGGCCATAATGAGTAAACATGTTTGAACTAAATAATTCTCATGTGGGTTCCAGGGCCCCATTAGGGGGAGAAAGAGAATAGACCCCATAAAAAGCGTATCATAAAAGTTTACTAATTAGGGTTGTTTCCTTCGAAGTCGCATGCATCTGCCTGAAAGGTGAGAAACAAACAGCCTGCATAGAGATAAGCCAGATCTGTAGAACGGATGTCCACACAAAACTCAAGTTCTGGAACTAAAGTCCATAAGTGGACAAGCAACCAGAACTTTCCAATAGAGTTTACAGCCAGTGAATGCGAAGGTGAAAGAAAAAAAAAGAGAAAGACCTGTGAAAATTTTCAGCAGCATGATATAACGCTTATGAAAACCATACTGTAGAAATTGTTGACGGCAAATTAGTGAGAGGTAGGGAGTGATACAAGGGTAGGATAAAATTTAGAGATAAACAGATTGGGTGTACAACCAGGGTGAGAGACAATGTTACAGATCCAACCATTACAGTCAACTTTCATTGCTAAGAAGACACTTGATTGACTAAATGATACACTAAGAAGACACCTGGTTGACTAAATGATACACAAAAATAGCTGGAGAACTTAATGATGACTGGGGGGAGGGGGGATGGAAAAAGAGCCACGGAAAAGCAGGGAGGTAAATACTTACTTGGCCTGGCCATCATGGTCCCCTTGTGGGGAAAGACAAGAGTAGACCACCTACTGCCTCCCTCAAAAAACATTTCGGAGTGGATTAATGGGGGGGGGGGCTTCCTTTGAAGTCAAAAATGTATCTGCCTGAGTCAATGAACCAACAGTCTGCATATAAATCGACCAGATCTTTCCGACAGAGTTTACAGCTGGTGAACAAAATATTACCACCTGCACTTATTCGTAGGGCACACAGTGATCATTTTTTTTCATGCGTTACCTTTCCGTTAACTTTATTTCCTGCCAGTATTTGGGAATTTTTATCCATTTAAATCCAAATTCTCCGTGTTTCCTAGGCCCAAAAAGAAGCTCTGGCAAGACGAAGGAAAGTGGTCTCATGATAGATATATTGATGTTTTGCAAGCTCCCAAGTCACGAGAGGAGTTGATTGAAATTTATGGTTATGATATCAGAATAGCTGACAGGCCACCAGAGGCGCCACCCAGAAGCTTGCGAAGGTATGTGTAGCTTTAATGTGCTTCTTATCTTTATGAAGGAGTTATACAATGGGGCTTCAAATGAAAACCTTGAAAGTGTGATAGAAAATACTGAAACCATGTCATTGTCTTGTAACCTGTCAATATTGTTGTTAAGGATGCCAAGAGTGTTAAGCACAGAGCAGTAATATGCCCAGTTAACTTCATTGTAGATCACTGTTGACACTCTCTCTTCATTAGCCACATTGTTTTCTGGTTGTTTCATAGAAAGGTAAAGAGAGATGTTTGTCAGTGTAGCTATTGCTTCTTGTTCTGCTTCCACCTTTCATCCTTCAGTGGTGCCTAGACCTGCCAAGACCTTTGCAGGCTTGTTCATGGTAGGTAGAATTTGCAACTAAAGTTTTCTACAGATGACCTAATTGGCCTTATGTCAACCCTTATATCGATTCTTTACTTCCCTTCTTGGTCCCCGGGAGTTCGCAGGCACAGATCTCTTAACTTGCAGTTAAATGCACATGTAAAATCCTTCTCATGGCATACTGTTACTTTCCCTTTCCTAAAACTTTAAATGATTATGTAGTCTAGACGTAGGTAAAATATTTGTCTAGATTCTGGAACAATGAATTAGATCTGTTGTGAAACCGATTTTGGGCCCAGCACAGGTCGGATTCAGTAAAGGAAGAGGATGAACTGACGCTAATTTCACCCTAAGGCAAATTAGCAAAAAGACAATAGAACACAGACACCAAATAAACATCGCTTTTATAGATCAAGAAAAAGCTTTTGACAGAGTGAACAGAGATTTACTATGGGATGTCATTGAAAACTATGGTATAAATGGAACAATGCTAGATTGTGTAAGAGCTATTTATAGAGAAAGTGAAAGCGCCTTCAGAACAAGAGCTGGTTTCATAGACTGGTTCCCAGTAACATCGGCAGTAAGGCAAGGGTTTGTTCTTTCACCTGTACTTTTTATAATATTTATGGGCAATATTAATAAAATAGACACCACCAGATGTCAATAAACAGAGAGACTTCAATAAGCTGCTCTTTGTCGATGATCAATGCATATTCCACAGTGAAAGTAAACAGCTGTGGGACCACATACCAACTACACAACAGTTGCCTTAAACATCACATGAAGATCAATAGTGAAAAAACAGAAGTCATGAGAATAAGTAGAGAGCAACAAACTATCGACATAAAGATTAAAGATAAAAGTCTGACACAAGTACAAGAATTTAAATACTTGGGAAACATCTTTACACACAGTTGTAAAATAGTCCGAGAGATAGAAACGAGAATCCAACAAGCCAGCGTCACCTACCAATTTGCTCCAATTTTAAAACACCTTGCTATTCCAGTAGAGACAAAAAGGCAAATTATAAATACAATATTTATACCGACTTAAGGTTACCAATGTCAGACTTGGACATTGACAAAAGAACACGAAAGAAAACAAACCACCTGTGAGATGAGATGTTTGGGAATGGCTGTGAATAAAACCAGAAGAGATCGAGTGAGAAATGATGTGATCACAAGAACTGTTGGAACAACATCCATCGTCAGATTTTTTTTGAGAAACAAAGAATGAAATGGTTTGGCCGTCCAATACGAATGAAACCAACCATGCCAGCAGCAAGAGCATAGATCCTGAAAATCGAAACATCAAGAGACAGGGAAAAACTGAGAAGAATATGGATTGAAGGAGTCACCGACACCTTGAAACGGCATAACATCACTGGATGTCAAGTGACTGAGCGCAACCTGGCTTGACTGCCGATCGTCTGATGAACTGACTCTGCATTTCCATCTGTTACAAATCCCAGAGAAGACGTTTAACCGACATGTGTGCATTGGTGAGTTTCTAAGAAGCCAAATTAACAGCATTGGTTGGTTTTGCACCTGCACAGTGTCTAAGAGGTATGATTATGTTTACTAAAAATAAAATTTGCAATGGGAATGTTTTACTGCTGGGGAAAATGTGGTGGGGTGACCTTTAGCTATAATGTGAAAGCACAAAGGGAGTGAAGTAGTTTGATTCTCTGTTTTTATTATTCTCCTGTATCTGTCTCTTTAAACATTTAAAACAGTATATATAAACATTTTTTTTAAATGTATTAGTGACCTGTGTAAAATGTTTGTTTTCTTTCCCCAAATGTTTTTTTTTTTAGGTGGGGACTGTCTATATTCATGGTTTTAGGGCTAAATTGGCGATTGATGTGTTGCAGTTTACAGCTGTGTTGTGATATCTGCACCTTTCTGGCCATCACATTTGTTTTTAATTTGCTGCCTTTTATGACATGCTGGATACTGGGTACCCATGCTTGTTTTTTCTTCTCCACATTGTAGCCCTGGGACCCACAAAGGGTTTAATATAAACAGTTTTCAGATTTGCTCATCTTTAATGATAATCTTTATTCCTGTTCTTTTTTTTTTTTAGGCCCAAGGGACCAAGGCAGCCTAATTTCAAGGACTTTATACCTCGAATGGCTGTGATTGACACCACAGAAGGTGGCCATGATTCTGTGCCGAACCTGGGTGATGATGATTTTATCCAGTACAGTCACCCTGGTAGTAGAACCCCTCACAGGAATAGGGGTCCAGGCACAGACTCCAGGAGAGGGGGGAGGGCAGCCGTGGTAGGAGGAATTACCAGAGTGATGATATTGAAGCCAAGAATAACAGGAATCGTCTTGTCAGCACTGGAGAAAGCCATGATGGTCATATGAGTGCAGGAGTACCTGAAACCTCTAACAGTGTGGAACATCAAATCCCTGTGGAATCGACAAGGCATGAAGTTTATAGAGATCATCAGAGTTGGAGAAAGGAAGCTGCTAATGATAACAGTCAGGATAATGGCAAGATTGATTCTGAGGGGACTCCGAAATTGTATCACGGCGAAACCGATGGGGTTGGTTACAGAAACAGTAATCAGGAAAGATTCCAGCAGTCGCAGGACATTCGCAGAATGGATGACAGCAGGGGGAAGAGTCGGCCACAGTATGGCTTCAGAGAGGATAGGAGAGACAATTTCAGTCACCCTAGGAGGAGAGATGGTAATTTCAACAGCCAAGGCCAGGTAGAGAATTGGAGGTCAGTACAGAATGACTACAAGGATGCTCCTAGTAGGGCCAATGATTTTGTTAGAAATAATCGTGGTGGGTATAATGAATTTGGTAATAATCGCAAAAGACCGCAGCTGCCGATAACTGGAGGAAATATAGGTCAAGGGGTGGGTAACTCTGGTGATTCCGGTTACTATGGTAATAATACATTTAGTGGGAAGGGATTTGAACAAACCCCGTATCACCAACAGCAAGCAGAAGCGCCTGGAACTGCTAGCAAAGAAGCCAAGGAGTACACAAATTCTTCGTATAAAAATCCTGAGATTAATTCAAAGGCAAAAGGTGTGGCCAGTTTCCCCGCTGCTTCCGTGACAGACAGCAATGCCGGTGATAACAGCGTGTCTGCAAACAGCAGCAACAGCCTGGTCATCTCCAACAAGGAGAATGTGCAGACGATCAACGTGACCATCACCAGCACCACCACTGAGAAAAAATCCTACGCCAAAGAGCGCAGGGCCAAAGGCATCTCTCGGCCAGTGGATGGGGCTGTGCTGGTTGCAGCTGGAGCCGAGCCTCAAGCTGTTCCAGGTTTGTAAAGTGAATCTGATCAATTTTTGTTGTTGTTGTTGCTTATGTGATAGAAATTCAAGATATAGTGTCCGACTTGAGTGCTAGAAGTTCCGGGTTCAATCCCGGGTAAGGGCTGGGATTTTTCAGGTGGACTTGGGCTTCTGGTAATTCGCTCTGGGTACTGAGATCGGACGCCCGTGTGCATTGATGCATGCGTAAAAAATCCCTTGTGATCGAAGTGGGAAATTGAAAAGAGTAGCCTAACGGCGCTGCCCAGGCAAAAATTATTGAGTTGAAAACCCAAAGTATTTCAGGATCCTTGCTGCTGCTGCAGAGCCTGCTCACTGTACTGAGCTTCTTTTGGTTCAGACTTGAATTAGAAGAATAATGAAGCACTTATGGGTTACTACCCATGTACCATGAGATTGATCTGTTGTTTAAACCTCAAACCATACTCTGATTCTTGTTTCAGTTTCAAATACTTATTCAGTTGCAGTATTGTAGCTGGGTTTTTTTTTTTTTTGTTTGTTCATTATGCGCTTATTACATTTATGCTTTGATTTTGTTTTTCAACTCAACTGTTAGATTGCAGATTTTACTGCCTGTTCTTAAGAATGATATCAAAATATTTTACTGAAAATTTCAGTCTTATTTACAATAGTTTACTTTGTGTTTCTGATAATAAGAAATATAGGAATGAAATAAGATTTGAATAGAGAGAAATTAAAGGGTGAGCAAAGTGGTAGGTAGGCCTGAATGCCTATTTGCATTCTTAAACTTTGAAAATAAAATTTATTTTTTTGTTTGGTAATATATTGTTACATTGTAATGATGAAGTATTTTACTGTATTTTAGGGTCATGTTGAAGTTACTATGTGTTTTAGTGAAATATTGCAGTATTTTACTATGTGTTTCGTGTAGTGTTGCAACATTTTACTGTATTTTCATTTCGTGTTGTATCTTACTGTGTGTTTTGTGTCATAATGTTACTTTTGGGGTAATGTTACAACATGTACAACTGTGGATTTCAGTGGCTCCCGTTTCCAGCAGCCACTACCAGAACTTGTCTCCTGCAGGAGTCCGCCACATGGATTTAACATCTCCACCTCTTTCAGCTGAAGCTAACCACTATTCACCTATGAGACAACAAGGCATGTTTGCAGAACCGCCCCCAGTTAATGGGGCCAAACTGTACAACCCAGGTAACATTTGCAGCGATTATTGTTTCCCCTATCTTTTCACTGGCCCATACCTTGCACTATAATGTTAAAGGACTGTATAGGACCTATTTTGTTATTTATGTGTATGACTGGAGGATATGCTGACAAGCCAAAAACACCTACTTCTCTTATTCTTCTGCTTCACTTCCTCTTTTACCGCTGTGGGTTTCGAGGGAGATATAAGGTTCTGTTTCTAGCTCTTCTGGCTGCCTCGACCATAGGCACATCGTGCTGTTGTAGAGTTTCTCTGATGTTATCCTTCCATCTTGTTCTTGGTCTACCCCGTGCTCTACGTCCTTCTTCTCTTTCCATGTATGCTATGTATGGTATGGTGTCATAAGGCATTCTCTCTAAGTGGGCAAACCATTTCACTTGCTGTCTTTGAATGTAATCCAGAATTGGTTCTGTGCCGACTTGTTCTCTTATGATCTCATTCCTGATCTTATCTCTTATGGTCACTCCTACAGCCATTCTCAGACATATCATTTCCATGGTTACTAATTTTCTTTTATGGTTTGTTGTGAGTGACCATGTCTGGCACTGGTAGCACAGAGTTGGAATAAATATGCTTTGAATAAGATGTCACTTTGTGCTGATTGGGATTGTCTTATGCTGTAAGAGGGGGGCTTGCTGTCCCAATACTTGGTTTGCTTTACTGCATCTAATGTTAATTTCTTTATCCAATTTCCCATCTTTGGTAAATGTAGTTCCCAGATATTTAAACTCAGTACTGGTAGCTGAAATGTGATTTCTGATAACGTGTTTTGAACATGTTATCAGGAGTAGTAGACTTAGGGACGGCTGAAAAGAGCAAGAGAAAGGCAAAGAGATAAATACCTCTATGACTTGGCCACATTGATTGGAAGGACAAGAGCACTGACCTTATCTGTGTTTTTAGTAATCAGCAGGAAGAATGAGAGATGTTAATACTCTGTTCAGTTCCCATTATCGTGTCATACAGATTTATTATCATTAATTGTGTTAAGCTAAGTGTTAGTATTGATTAACAAATCTCTGCAAATAATAATGATAATTGTGTAGTTACAGATAGTTGTATATCCTTCACTTGATATCACAAACCAGCCTCCGGTGTTTTTGGTTTTACTAGGCAATTTCGCATTCAGTAGTTTGCCATTGCTTTCAGAAAGCTCGAGAGGTACACATACTGCTCGTGTCACTTGCCTAGTTAAGGATTTCTCGTAATGAACCAACAGCACTCTGAAATAGTATAAGTGTTGGAATGTCGGCTGGTAATGGTCTAGGCGGAATCCTGCAGCCACAGTACACATCCAACCTACTTCAGGGTGAGGTGACACAAGTTATGGCACTACAGTATATACACTCCTAGGCGCAACTTGGTCGGACATCCTACCTACTACAAAAAAATTGCCCCCAGACTAGATAGTCTATTACCATAGTCATGTTAACACAGAAATAGATCTAATATTAATACACACACTCCAGACAGCTAAGAAGAGTGAAGGATTGACACTAAATCAAGACTGAAAAATTCCAAAGACATGTAATAAGTTCAACATATACATATATAAATCAGGCTAAAAGAATTCGACAGCAAGCATGTTGTAAGAGTCGACTAATTGGGTGCTTCCTTCGAAGTCGGAGTGCAGCTGTCTGAGAGGCAAGGAACCAACAATCAGCATACAAGAATGTCAAATCTGTGAAATAGATGTGCTCGCAACACTTAATGGTTTGGAACAAGACTAATGTCCAGAGGTGGATGAACAACCAGAACCTTCCGTTAGAGTTTACAGCAAGTGAATGCGAAGAAGATAAAGAATAATAGTACAGGAACAACTGTTGCAGAAATAATAAAGTATACAAAGAACAAAATAATTATAGAAAAGAGAGTTATTAATGTAAGTATTCAGTTTAAACAAATTAAGGCTTCTTGGAAATATGGTGCTGGGTCATAATTTCAAAATAAAAGTGGCTGATGAGGGATTCTGCACGAGTCACTTTATTTTAGGCTGGTCAACCTAAAAACTGGAGCAGAATTTTAGAAATCCTATTGTTTAATAAAATTTGAGCACTTGAGAACTTAGCCAACAGTCAAACTAGTGTGCTGCTGCAGCTCTCTTTTACATATAAACAACATGTGAGGGCAGTCTGAATTGTGCTTTTCTTTTTTTAAAGATGCTTTTTAGTTTGCTTTGGTATGTTTCTCTAGTCAGGAGGATGCAATATTTTTTTTTTAAACGCCATTTAGTTAATTATATTATTTTTGAGGTATTTGACATTAAATCCTTTTTAAGGCTTTAACATTAGGAAAGAAATAAAGTCTCAGCACACTCTCCTTGACTTACGCAGGGGTTGTAGGTCTGCAGGACCCTGTATTTTGTGTGTTGTTTCAAAGCTTACCTTTGCTTTATTTTCTGATCAACCACATAGCTCTGCCACCACCCTCATTCTACCAGAGAGAACACAGTGGACTGCCTCCCACTCAACACCCAACCCATACTCCCGCAGGAGCTGTCCCAGACCCCGCTCACTTTACTCCCACACTGCTTCCCCCTGCCACAGCGTTGCCGTATGGCTTGCCAGGTAAAGAGATTTATATATATTGACATTGGGAAATGGCAAGGAAATGGGAACTTAGTCTTAATTTTCATCAATTATTGATATAAGATGAACTCCTGAAAGCATTGCAACTCGGATGTCAGTAATTTCCTGGATGAAAAAGAAAATAGGACAAGACAATAAAAGAGTTGAATTTAGTTCCTAGAGATGTGGATATATAGAAGACTAGATCATATTTCATGGAAACAATACAACAATCAAATACAGAATGTTCTAAAGAGTTGGAATAAAAAATAGTGTTGGAAAGAAGGGAGAAGAAATATTTTAGCTGTGTTAAAAGACACTGCACTGTTATTGAAAAAAAAAAAAATAATACTGGAGAGAAAAGTTGGAGCTGAATGAGCAGAAAGTATGCATTGATACAAGCGGCAGGATAACATCTAGAAATGGAGTGTAAGAGTGTGTAACAAGAGTGAGATGTGGAGGTCAGTTGCAGACAAACTTCACTGTGAAGACACGATTGATTGATAGAAGATAGGAACCCTGCTTGATGGTTAATTTCTTTTAAAATAAGAGGATTAATTTGAAAATAATTGTTAATATTTGCACTTTGGATTTTTTTTTTTTTTTTTAATTATTTTTTTTTTCCTGCAGTGAGCAGTGCCTTTAAAAATAATAATGTGTTTAAGATTTCTTGTATATTTGTTGCGCTACAGTTACCTTGAGTTGGTAGTTTTACAGATCTGACTTATTTTAACAACTGTTTGTTCCTTCCTGTTGGGCAGATGCACTTTACCTTGGAAGAAAACACCCCTAACTATTTGCCTTTTGTGACATGCTTGATAGGGGATCAGTAGGTCTCTTCTTTTTCCCCCAGAATGGGGCCCCAACATGGAAAGTGTCACTTTAGGGATTGGGTTGTGGGTTTGCCTGATATAAACTTAATGGTTTTAATTTAAATTAAAGGTTATTTGATTAATTTTGATTTTTTCTAAGCTTGTTTTATATTGTGTTTGATTTGAAACCAATAAACATGTCGTTTTCAGCATCTAGTGCAGGGCTTGCGCTCCAACCAACAGCAGCAGGTATTCCCCCAAACCCAGCATTGTTCCAAGCCTCCTCTGGACCTCCTGCAGCCAGCTCCATTGCTCCACCTGCTGCAGTAATAGCTGCCCCATTTCTTCCAACTGGAATGATATATGCAGGAGGTACTAGAGTGCCCCCACCTGGGGCCCCGGCTGGTTTTCCTCTGACACTGGCATACACAACTCCCCCTCCTCAAGGAACGGTGCCAGCTGCTGTTGTGGGCAGTCAGCCCCCACCACAAGCTGCGGCCCCTGGCCAGGTGAGTGACCATAAGTGGTAGTGCCTTGGCATCATTAGAGTGACCTTCTTGTGAATCAATATTGTCAGCCAGTCTTTAACCAGCTAAATCGTCAAATGCCTTGTCAGCTGGCGTAGGTGTTCTTGCATCTCCACAGATCTTGGTCTTTGGTGTTCTGGATCTGTTCCACTGATGATATTCCTCCATGCCACTCTCTTAAGCCATCCACCATTATTGTTGGTCTGCCTCTGCATCTTCTACCAGTGATTTTTCCAGTCATCTCAATATTTTCCAGTGCTTCTTTTCAACCAGCTAAGTAGGCTGCCTTTGTTTGCATTGTGTGCTGAAGTAAAAATATCTCTGGACAAAGTTTTAGTGACAGTCTTGTAATTGGTAGTATTCATAGCCTCAGAGATTCTGTCTATCCATTTGCTATTTGTGGTCAGCTTTGTGCACTGTTTCTATTGTATCTAAATAACAAAGCTCTTTTGAAATGCAAAGAACTCCTGGTACCAGTTTTGCGCCTGGCAAGTGGTGCCCGCTGTAGCCTCAGTGTAGTTTCAAATACCTTCTGGCCATCTAACTCAGATTCTAATCACTGTATTGCCACAGCTCCCCAATGAAGCTGTATGAGCTGTTTAAAAAAAAAATAATGATAATGTTAACGTGTTCCATATCTTAAGACTTACCGTGCTAGTTCTTGTGATTTGTCTCTTGTTAATGTTTGCTGATGAAGGATGCCACTGTAAGATCTTTATTTTATTGTAATTATTATTTTTCTAAAACTGACCTCCATTTCGTCCGCTGGAACATTTTTGAAAAGGAGATAAATGAAAAGAATACTAGAAAATTTTTCACAACCATTTGTCATGGCTTAGCAGCGTGGTACATGAACTGATATATGCTACTGGAGAGTGGAGGGGCATGATCACCCACACCAGTCAGCAAAGTACTTGAGGCAAAAACTTATTTTGCTAGTGCTGAGGTTAAAACCCAGACCACATCCTTTTTTTTTTTTTTTCAAATATCCAGAAACCATGAGTTGTAAACCCTTTGGCTCGGTACTATGGATATCACAACCGTTCGGCCTTGATTCCATGATAGGTACCATAAATCTGGCAGAAATGTGGCTTTTCTGCCTACCCCTGGGAGTGAACCTGGACCACATGGAGTTCATCACCCGGCTGCCTCGAAGTCAGCTTTAACCAACTACGCTAGCGAGTCGGGCAACACATGAAGGCAAACAAAGCACTAACTGCTAAGTCGTTCGTGAAAGAATTAATTAAAATCATTTACCTTTTACTACTGAATGTTGAGGATCTGTGCCATGGTGTTCATGGGGGGATGTTCACAGGGGGATAGCTGGGCCTTATCGCTGTAAGAATGATGTTTATGTCTGGGTCGGCCAACTCTTCCTTGGAAGGACGGTGGATTAAATCTTGCTCAAAGAAGCAATAAGTGGAAAAATTTGACTGGTACAGAAAATGCTAGACTAGCACCCGGTGCCTCATCGAAACCTGATGCTGAACAAGATAAAGAAGAAGGTTTGTTGTGTTTGACTCGGCAGTTGACTAGCTGATGTGTTGGAAGAGGCTGAGCAGTATAGGTTGTTTGTTTTAGTATCCAGAAGCCATGAGTTGTTAACCCTTAGGCTCGGTATTATGGATATCGCAACCTTTCAGCCTTGATTCCATTGTAAATACCGTAAATCTGGGAAGAATGTGGCTTTTCAGCCTACCCCCGGGAGTGAACCCGGACCACAAGGAGTTCGTCACCCTGTCACCGCGCAATCCGGTTTAGCCAACTACGCTAGAGAGCCGGGCAGCAGTATAGGTTAAAACCAGTTGCAATTAAATTGATCCTGTCAACCTAAGTTCATAGTTAGTTTTCTTTTCATACTGACTTACTTAACTTCATTTCTGGCTGGCAGCACACGAAAATCTATCGCGGAGACATCACCTACTATGCACCAGAATTACAACAGCCAGCAAGGACAACGCAGAAACGACCCAAGGCTGCCATACCTATCATAAACCCACAGGTATGTATTGATGCTCATTGTGGAGACATTGTTGCTTTCAGGTGGTTTTCTGTTTTTCTTTTCTTCTGTGTTTGCCCTTAAAAGTTGTGGTTTACAGCTGGACTGCGATATCTTCACCTTTCAGCCCAACACATTCGTTTTCTGCAGAACCTGAATTAATTGCTTTTTATGACATACATGTTTAGAGGTCTTCCCTACCACGGAATGGGGTCTTGGAACTTACACAAGGACTTGTTTCTTTTGTTTCAAATAGATGGTCTGTATCTGCAGTGTTCTCTTTTTATACTTGGTTTAACTAACTCAGTGGTCTGTCACATTTATAGTTTCCACTGCTGTTTCTTTCTCTGGGCAAAATGATTTGCCCTAATGTTTTGTATTCAGGGTTCAGGGCAGTCTTGAAATATATGTTCTGCTGTCTGTGCCTTTATAAGCCACATTGTGCTCTCAGTCTATTCTTCCAGTCCATTCTTCTCTGGTGCAGTTGTTTCAGTGTCATGGATGAATCCAGTCCAGCGTCTTTGGTCTCAGTATTCCTCATTGATGTCCCTGTTTCCTCAGTCCATTGTGACTGATATTGAAGTAATAATTAAATTGTATATATATATATATGTGGCTGTGTAGTTGATTGTACCATGTTATGAATAGGATGATCACAATCTGTTCTTGTCTTTCCATGTGATAGTCATCTTATTCCAGAATTTTTGGCTTGCTGATTGCGACAGGTGATTACATTGACTTTGTTGAGTCTTACGTAAGGGAAGTAGATGGCTCCTTTCGCACCTTGAGGCATATGGGCAAATGAATGAGGCAGGCGTGGTTAGTATTTTATTGGCTGCCTTTGAAATTGTTACTGGCCAGCAAAGCTGGTATAAGATTACTATGTAATACGAGCTTTGAGTCAGAATATCAGAAAACAAATACATTTATATGCATTTAAAAAATCCAAATATCAGCATCCACAAAATTAGATAACCTTAGCGGTGATAACCAGAAACTAATGTTTGCCAAGTCTTTGATCCTGCTAGTGAAACACTTGTTGCAGACAAACTCAGACATTAGGAGACAGTGTTTGTCTGCAGACTTTGAGAATAAAATATATGGTGAGGTCAGTTCTTTTTATATGAACAGGCATATTTTGGAATATATAGAAGAGCTTCTGTGAGTGTGTCTTGCCAGAAGGGGAGCAAGGGGTTCTAGTGTTAGATGATCTCACAAAAAAATATAATGTTACAAGGAAATTTGGGTTTTATATTTACGTGGACCGTCCCCCCCCCCCCCCCCTTTTCCTAAAGCTGCACATCCTTAATGTAGACCCTAGTTGCATTTAAACACCCAACTAGTGAGCAGATAAATTAATAAATTTGTGTTTCGTATTTTTCCTTACACAGGAAGTTCCCGGACAGAGGATGAGAGTTAAATCTGTGGAGGTGTATTCAACTGAAAAATCTGCTGTATTTGAGAGTAAAAATGTATCTAGCATCAGTTCTGGCAACATGGAAAACCTTCCCGTGGATAAATACACTTCTTTTGACTCAACTCAACCTACCAAGGTAGAAGGACATGATACAAAAGTCTTGTCCGGTTCAGAAAAGCAGTTACCTCGGAGCAGCACATCGTTGTCACACGGAGGGCTAGTACCCAAGGCATTGTCTTCAGCAACATCACAGAATGCTCCTGCAGCATACCCTTTGGGTAAAACAGATGTTGCAACTCCACAGGCAAAGTTGACGCCTCCAGTTAACCATACAGACAGTATGAAGGCCTCGTCTTCCCTTGATGGTTCTGAAGTCAAGAAGCTGGCCATCAAGACTGAATTATCACCTGGTGGCCCACCTGTGAATAGTTCTGCATCCGGTTCAGCTTCCTTAAGCAAAGTTGGTGATCAGTCTCTCAGTACAGCCATGCAGGGCTTCAAGATCGAAGACAATTCTGGTAGAGTAGAAATGAGTGCCTGTGCATTAGGGAGTTCAGTTGTGAAGCAGGAATGTGAGAAATCGGTAGCTGGAATCGGCGAGTCATCGATAGCTTGAACCCGTCTGCTTTAGTTACTTACTATATTGAATTCAGAACTTTTTTTAAAACACAGAAACAGAAGTGTCATACGTAAACTTCTGCTGCATCCATTGTTATAGCTACCATTTATGTCGTTTCCCCATAGAGTGTGTGACTGTTGTTTGCACTAGTTTTAACTCTGTTGGTACACAGTATTTTGTAGTTGTGGCTTCTGCATGCTAGAGTTTTACAATTGGGGTCATTTGATTAACACAAGTATGTGAATATACACAGTATAAGTTAAAAAAAAAAGGAAAGATTATTTTTTACACCACATCAGGAATATGGGAAGAGCACCCCATATTTTCACAGGCCAATCGGCACTGGGTGAGTAGTGTGGTCTGCATTACGCCAGCCGTCTTTACTTCCCCAGAACATTCATCCTGGTACCCATTTCAGGCTGTGATGCCCCATACCTCGATAAAAATCCACGCAGCCAGCTGTTGGTTTGATCGCGGTACGATGGAATTACCAGTCGGACATGAATAAACGCCAGCTTGTACCATGCATTTGGAAAAACGCACAAATGATCCTTACATCTTTCCTTTTTGTCAACACCTCAATGAGGTAAATGTTGGAAGAGAAGAGGAAGAAGAAGTAACTAAAGAAGTAAATTTGCGCAACATTCAGCATGGTGAGATAAAGCCTAGTGCCATGAAGTAGTAGTAGGCACTGAAATGAGGAACTAATGGCTTGTGGAAATGTGGATGGTATCCAGTGTCTATTTTAATTGTATGACCTGCACCACTTGTAGAGCTCGTGGCTGCTATTTTAGCTTTGTTGGTAAATTGCAATTTTGCATTTGTGGCTTCTGTGTGCTAGTGTTCGCCGGTGGGATCATTTGGTTAACACATGGGTGTGAATATGCATGGTATGGTGAAACAAATTGTGTACTGACTAACACTTACGGCTCTTCTTGTTTGTGTCACTGGCTGTAAACTATGAGAGAATGTTCTAGTTGTTTATCCACTTGTCAACTTCGGTCTCGTTCCAGGATTTGATTTTTGTGTGCACGCTGTTAGTTCCTTGCCTCTCATGCAGATGCGCTCAGACTTTAAAAAAAAAAAAAAACTTTGATTAGTCGACATTTAGGACATGCTTGTTAGGGGGCAGTGGGTCTATTCTGTTTTCCCTAAAATGGGGCCCTGGGACCCACACGGGGAGCACTCATAGCAAGAAGAGATAGGAGAACACGCTAGACAACAAGAACATTGAAAGGTCTAGTTATAATACCAGGACTCGAACCTGTCGCCTTCTCTAAAACAGAGGGTGTCATCAGTTACCAAGACTTATTCACTGCACCAACACTGGAATATGGACACAATTTGTATACAGCCATTGAAATAGCAACATGGGTTATATCAGTTTATGTGAATATAGACCATTTAATATCAAGATGATGATGATGGAAGGCTGTTACAGCATCTCTTTTAGGTAAATCTCATTGCAGATCTCCAGGCCAAGTTTATGCCTTCAGTTAACCATACAATACAGACTCATTGGTGCTTTCATTTTTATTCACCTCAGACAGACAGTCCTATATTTCAGGGGGTGGTAGATAGGCTGCATTCAGTCATTGGACCTAGGCTGCATGCAGCCGTGGGATCTAGGCTTCACTCTTTCCAGGGACTTAGGTGGATTGGGGTTGGGTCCAGTTCTAGGTTTTTGGGGTAGTGAGAAGCACCACAAAGCCAGGAAACCTGGTCTTACCACCCTATAAAATATTGGACTGTCCCCATGACGTCATCTGGGGTGACTTATTAAGAAAGAGCCGACTCTTCTTCTTAGTATGTATTGGCCGTAAACCACTGCCGAAATGTCTGGTGTTGATCCACTTCCGGACTCCCCCATGTCGGTTCTGGGGCCCTATTGTGGGGAATACAAGAATAGACCCACTGCCTTCCCAAAAGCATGTCGTAAGAGTCGACTAACTGGGGAGCTTCCTTTGAAGTCGGAGTGCATCTGCCTGAGAGGCAAGGAACCAGCAGTCTGCATTCAGTTGAATCAGAACTGTAAAACTGATGCACACACAACACTCAGGTTCTGGAGCGGGACTGCAGTCCAGAAGTGGACGAACAGCCAGAGTGTACAGCTGGTGAACGCGAAAAGAAGAAAAAGACTTCCGGACTTTGGTCTTGATCCGGAACTTGAATTTTGTTTATACATCCATTTTACAAATCTGGCTTATTTGTGTGCTGACCGTTGGTGCCTTACCTCTCAGGCAGATTGCCCTCCAACTTTGAAGGAAATACCCTTAATTAGTGGAAGTTTACAGCATAAATGTTAGGGGGACAGTGAGTCAGATTTTCTTGCCAAAATGGGGCCCAAGAACCTAAGCATTTACCTAAGGTTTACATTTACAACATAGACAATATGAAGGCCTTGTCTCCCCTTAATTGCTCTGAAGTCAAGAAGCTGGCCATCAAGACTGAATTGTCACCTGGTGGTCCACCGGTGAGTAGTCCTATCCATCCAGCACGGCTTTCCTGTGCAAAGATAGGGATCAGTCTCTTGGTGCAGCTATGAAGAACATTAGCTTGTCAGCCATGTTCACTTGCCACAATGGGTCCTGGTGTCCATTTCTTTTAGACTCGGTTGCCCTGGCAGTGTGAGCTAGTATGAAATCCTGTCTTGTGGGGGGGGGATGTTGGACCTGTGTCCACAGGGCCAGCAGATGGACAATCATCATTCTGAAAAAACAAAAACAAATAGTCCCTATGTAGTCCCACTGCTCCAAAAAAAAAAAACAACAGCCCACTCATTAAATTATGATTGGTCTATCCATGGCACACTGTATTTGTGTATTTGCAGGCTCTCAGAGATTATGATTTCTAGTCATATTTACTTGTTAGCTGCATGTCCTCCCAGTTTTTCATGTCCTCTCTACTATCAGTGGTATGTTCTTTATATTTATAGTTCATTACTTTCTCTTATGCACTGTACATTGCAGACTCAGGTATGAGCCAAATAGCTTTTGCCAGTGATCTGGAGCTGAACAGACTCTAGAACAGTGGCTGTCAACCTTCCTAATGCTTCAACCCTTTAATACAGTTCCCTAATGTTGTGGTGACTCCCAAACAATTTTTTTCCTTCCTAACTTCAGTGAATATTTGTTTTCTGATGGTCTTAGGCGACCCCTGTGAAAGGCTCTTCGACCTAAAAAAAAGGGTCACCACTACTCTAGAACATGTCTTGGAAGACTGTCTTCTCATGAAGGACATATAAAGCAAGTTGTGGCTACACTCAGTTAACCTGAGAACTAATCTTTGGGCAAACCTTACAGACCTCGGGCTGACTGCCAGTTGATGGCTCACAGTGGATTAAGTGCATGACCAGATATCACTGAGAAGGAAGTCTGTTATCTAAATATGCTTGATGGGCTCATGTACTAATTTGATATGCTGTTGGAGTCACCATTTCAAGTTGCTTGTATGTTAACATATACATGATTGATTTCGTGGTGTTGCTTACTGATATATGGTTGGCGTTATGGTAAAGTCACTTGAGTGCTAAACTCTTTTTTTTTTGAGAAAATTACGTTTCTTTTTCTTCTTTGTTGTTCTCCCTGCCATAAGTTTTTAGATAAAGCCACAGGCCTCTGTGAAGTTTCTTGTGCTATGCATGTCCACTGATGCATATATCTTGGTTTCCACTGGAATACCAACCAGTCAGACCTGGCACTTGTCTGCTACATATAAGGAGCATGTCTGACACACATACTCTGTGTTTTATGATGCCTGTCCATGTGGGCAAAGTTCTCAGTCATCATCATCATCAGTCAGTAAGTCCTTTACAGAACATCACTGTTTTCACGGCATGGCTGAAAGTATCACTTTCCCTAGCCAGCTGTCCAGCCCCGTGTGCTTTCAATGCCAATGCAATTTCTATGTCCTGTATCCATCTTCGCGGAGGTCGACCTCTGCCTCGCTTTCCACAAACGGCACCATCTATTCCAAGCCACCATGGCGTTTTATGTGGCTAAAATACTTTTACTTTCGGGACAGCACACTTTATGAGCGGGTTCTCCTTGGTGTTTAACTCGTGTAGAATGTCGATGTTTTTCCACTTCTTGATCCATGGTATTCTGAGAATTTTTCTCTGGCATTTTAATTCAAAAGCTCCAATCTTTTTTCTTCAGTGATTGAGTGAGAGTCCATTACTCACAACCGTAAGTTACAGCACGAAAATGCTTGATTTTAGTCCCCAATCTTGAATTGTTGTTGTGCATATGGCTACATTATCTGTTGTATCCATTTCACAGACTAAATGCAATGGTCAGTTGCTTTAGTGTGAAGAAAATCATGTTTAAAGATTCACATCCCTCTGAAAAATCAAATGAAAATTAGGTGGTTGTGTGAATACTTCGTTTTGACTTTTTTGGAGCAGGGATTCACATGTGTGCCTTTGGCATATTATAAAGTCACAAATAGCCCTGAAAATGTACCTAGCTGGACATTGTCAAAATTGCGCTTAGATGGACTTTGGCTTAGGGCCAACAGTGTGTGGATTGAAGGGTCTTTCGTATGTCTCTGCTATCTGTCCTGATTTCTTTAACTTGGTCCGGGCACATTGTGAGACATGATTGATTGCAAAGATTGTACTTCAACTAAACACTGGGGGATAAGTCAAAGAAGAGGAGGGCAAAGAAGAACCTGGAATGACAACCTTAAGAAATAGACATTTGTTTAACAAGCAGAAAACAGAAAGATGGTAGGTTTTTCTTTGTGTTATTTCTTCCATCAATACATCTACAAGACCCTAACGGGTCAAGGGTGATGTTATGTATGACTGCTGTCTCGTATCTCACTTAACATGGTTTTTTTCTTTTACTTTGGTTTAAAGAGTTCAAGAGTTAATTAATGAAATGTTAACAGCACTGGGGGGGGGGGGGGGGGGGGGGGGGGGGGGGATGTACTTTGTTGCCACTGTTTGTAAGCTGACTAGGAGAGTAGTCCTCCAGATGGTGAGGAATTAAATT